ACACAGAAATCATTTGACTGGGCAGAAGACAAGCAATGTGAGAAGGTCTTAGAAGCGTTGGCCCAAAGGCCAGCTTGGGGAAGGACAGGTCCTCACTGAGTGTTTCACTGGGGATTACAGGGGGCCCAGAGAATGGATGTGGATGTGACTGTCAGTTTTGGGCTCAGTGCCTCCAAAGGACACCTTGAAGCCATGACTGCCAGCCTAAGCAGTGACAGGAAGGTGGTGGCAGGAGTTGTGAGATAGGGTGACCAGGCTGACTGAAATGATCTAATGGTAATAGCTTGTATTTGCAGGATAAAGGAAAGCAAAGCATGTTTGAGCTTCATATCAGAAAATACTGGAAAAAGCGTGGAGATGGCTCAGAAATGAACTGAAAAGAGATTATCACATTTTTTTGAGTAATTTGAATTTTCAGGAATTTGAATTTTAATCAGCCTGGACAGCCAAGACTGAAGAATGTACACTGTACTGGCTAGGAGGCATAATACTTATCCCTCTTCATGTGAAGGTCTTAATCTCTAATCCTCATAATCCTGAGCAAGACACATCCACTTCAGTCCCTGTTCCTGATTCGTCCATTATGTGATGAGGAGGGGGTTGTAAGATGGGTAAGAAGGGCAGTCCGAACTTTAGAATCGGAAGCCAAGCTGGAGTACAAGATGCACAAGAGTGAGATCATTTAGCCTTCGCAAGGCAGCAAGGGACAGTTATTCAGGTCCTCAAGACATCTCTGTAGACAGGGAATAAAACTGTTCAGTCTGCCTTTAAAGTGCATTTCTTTAAAAAATGTGAAAACCAGGAAGAACTGCTGAAAGGTTCTGCAGAGGTGGGCAGGGCAAGCAGCCCAGGACAGGAAATGTCTTTTAACTTTCCCATGGCCTTTCATCACCAGGAAAGAGGATCTACTGAGTTCCTGGTGAAGGCAAATTGAGTGAGGAAATCACGGCATGATTTGAGTGAAATCACTTTCTCTGACTCTGTCCCCACAGCCCACACTTCCTTGAGCACCAGCCCAAAGTGAAGACATGAGCAGCAACCACTGACCTCATGGCAGCGCTTGTGCAGAAGATCTATTCAGACAGCAAAGTAATTCCAGAATCAACACTCAGCTCAACACATTCCTACTGCCTTAAAACACCCATTTAGTCTGCAGTCAGACTCTGAAGAGGCACATTTTAAACCCAGGACGTGCAGAGCCAGCAGCAAATTAGCCAAATTAGCTCTCAGCAACCTCACAGGAGCCATGCTGAGGAGCTCCACGTGCCATGTGCAAAGCAAGTTGCCAAGCCGAGCACAGCAGCCCTATAGAGAAGAGCAAAGAGATTCAGCCCTGCATGCTGCTGAGGAGGGAGTGCGTGCTTGGGCTGCTCAACCTCAGGAGATAAGCACAGCCCAGAGGATGCAGTCCTGGTGGGGCTGAAGGCACTGGGATGCCAATAGAGGCAGGCAGGCTGCAGGAGCACACAGCCAGCCCTGCTGCAAGCAGTGCGATGGGAAGGGAAGGGACGGCGGCTCCCAGTGATAAAATTAAAAAGAAAAATCTCTGCACATTAAGTGCTCTAAAATAGAGCTATAAAAGAAAAGCTTTTTAACAAAATATGGCATTTATCTGTCCCTTCTGTTCACCTATTCCCTTCAAAGATAAACTCTGAAGATAATGGCCCACAAAAAAATCATCAGTTTGCTGCAATAATGAAAAGTCTGTCTATTTTCTGGTAGTACCCCTGAAGTGTCTCAGGGCTGCCCATGAATGATCACTCTGGACAGTGCTTAAGGTTTACAAACATTTTTATTAGATCACTAATTATCTCACAGAAAGCATTTTTTCATTATGCTAAGAGGCTGTGCTGTGATTATAATAAACATTTAGAACTAAAATGAAGTTCTCTTTTATGTATCATCAAAGGAGGAGAAAGGTGACCAGAGGACACACACTACACAAACAGATTGAGGCCACGTGTTATAATACGTCAGTCTGGGCATTTAATTAATTCACTATTTAATAGCTAATTACTTTAACAGGGAAGCCCTCCCATCACACTGCAGGGTAGACACGTGGCCTCACAGAAGCATTCAGATCAGAAAAGACCTTCAAGATCCCCACCGTGCCCATTGCCCACGTCCCTCGGTGCCACATCTCCATGGCTCTGGAACACCTCCAGGGATGGTGACCCCACCATTCCATGGGCAGCTGTGCCACTGCCTGATCACTCTTTCACAGAAGAAATGTTTCCTAACACCCAGCCTGAACCTCTCCTGGCGCAGCTTGAGGCCATGATCTCTCATCATATACAGTAGTTCTTCAGGAATTACTTTGCCTGTCTCTGGAAACACTCATGCAAAACCAAATCAATTCATTGGCATGACTGCCTAGGTGGTGCACACTCAACACAGCTTCAGGTTCACAGAATCACAGAATTGCCAGGGTTAGAAGGGACCTCAAGGATCATGAAGCTCCAACCTTCCTGCCACATGCAGGGCCACCAACCATCCCACCTAATGCTAGATCAGGCTGCCCAGGACCCCATCCAATCTGGCCTTGAACACCTCCAGGGATTGGGCATCCACAACCTCCCTGGGCAGCTGTTCCAGCACCTCACCACTCTCTCTGTAAAGGATTTCCCCCTGACTTCCAACCTAAATCTCCCCTCCCTCAACTTAAAACCGTTTCCCCTCGTCCTGCAGTTATCAACCCTTTCAAAGAGTTGATTCCCCTCCTGTTTGTAGGCTCCCTTTATGTACTGAAATGCTGCAATGAGGTTCAACCAGGGATGCAGAATTGAGATGGCGTACTTACAGAATCACAGAATCACAGAATTGCCAGGGTTGGAAGGGACCTCAAGGATCATGAATCTCCAACCCCCCTGCCACATGCAGGGCCACCAACCATCCCACCTAATGCTAGACCAGGCTGCCCAGGGCCCCATCCAATCTGGCCTTGAACACCTCCGGGGACGGGGCATCCACAACCTCTCTGGGCAGCTGTTCCAGCACCTCACCACTCTCTCTGTAAAGAATTTACCCCTGACGTCCAACCTAAATCTCCCTTCCCTCAGCTTAAAACCATTTCCCCTTGTCCTGCTGTCACTCATCCTTTCAAAGAGTTGATTCCCCTCCTGTTTGTAGGCTCCCTTTAGGTAGAGTATCCAATTGTACCCACTCTGGGCTGAACCAGTAGAAAGAGCTCTTTTAGTTAAAGAAAGGTCACCGCTACCTGCCGCCCGGAGCATCAGCCACTTCACCCAGCCCTTCTGACAGCAATTCAGGGCAGTGCATCCAGAGAGAACAGTTAAAATAACCCCCTTGAAAGCACCACTCATTTCAGTGCACAATGCGGCCTCCAGGGGGAAGATGAGAAGAGAAAAAGCCAGAAGTGACAGATGTTATGTCTCCTGCAGTACTGATACTGATTTTAGGCGGATAGGGACAGAGTAAGAACCCACACTGAGCACAGCAGAACATACGTGACCTAAAGCCTTATTTTTCCTTCTCTGAATATGATATTTAGACAGAGCAAACGATTATGAAGGAAGACACACACACTCCTCTGATCCACCTCTTTTTGGGTTACCTTGAGCCCATTTTGCTGTTGGTTTTTGATTTATTTTTTTTTTTGCTGTATTAACTTCTCTTGCCTTCAGATCCCCCACAACACACATAAAAAAGCCATCCTGTCATTCAGCTTTTGCCTAGGGTTGGTTTTATGGCTGGCAGGGCTTTTAGAGGACAAAGACGCAAGCTTTGAGTCTCTATTTCCACAATTCAGTGACCTACTTACGGAGATGTAGTGGGGAGGCTGCAAGGGGATTACTTCAGGTCCATTTAGACAAGGTACTCACACGCCTTTCCTGCTGGAAGTACAAAACATCAAGGGAAAAAGCATTCCTGCTGGAGCATGATGCTGAGCATGCCAGCAGGCTGGCACACCATGCCTGGGTGTCTCTGCCCAGCCTGCTGCTACTGGAGACCCAGACATCCCCTGCCTCTTTTGGGAAGATGCAGCTGCCCCTGCCTGGCTTTGTGGCTCCAGAAGGAGCCTGATGGACATGAGGAACAGGGAGCAATCCCAGAGCCCATGAAGCAGCACCCAGCACAGCACTTGGTGCCTCCAACGCCAGCTCTGGCATTTGGAAAAAAACGTGTTTGCGCTCAGGCCTTATGTTCACAATTACCACGGCACTAATGATTCTTGATGAATCAGTAATGACCTTCAAATGTGCGCTGAAACTATTTCAGCTTCCACTTAATCAGGTAATGAAGTCACACAAATAGGCAGAATTTCTTTCAGAGATGCTAAACGAGGCCGATTCCAAGCGCATGGCTTTTCTACCTGCTCTGATTTTCCTGAGTATTGCAGGGTAGTGCAATAGGGCTGACATAATCCATCACCACTGGTGGGAGCTCTGACAGGGTTACAGGTACAGCCATCTACCCGTGCTTCCAATCCATCCTGTTGCTGTCCCCAGTGAATCCCCAGTGAGTACAGATAGTACAGCTGGCACTTTCTGCCAGGTGGAAATGCATGACTGCGGAGACATCACTGTCTGCTTCATCCTAGCAAGCAGGCAACAAAGTTTGCATATCATTGCTATCCATCATAGAATCATAGAACGGCTTGGGTTGGAAGGGACCTCAAGCATCATCAAGCTCCAACTCCCATCATGCAAACTTGGCACTTACTCTGTAACAATCCTCTCTTTACAACTCAGTTCTGAACCTGTTAGCGAGATGTGCATTAATAGTGTCCCTGCACTACTCCAGCACAGCCACTGTGAAGTTAATTACGAGTGCACAAAAAAGATCATTTCAGGATTTATCAAGCAGGAACAATAAATACTTGTAAATGACAGTTGCACAATTTCATAAAAAGAAGCAAGATGTTCAAAACAAGAACAAAACTAAATGGAATGTGTGTTTTTTTCCTCCCGTCTCGCAAGGTTTATATATATGTATGTGTTATGTTTCAGGGTGGAAATATTGCAGAGGTGAACTGCATCAGCACTGACTGCCTGTTCACTTACACGCATGCAAAATTTGGCTTTGCATCAGTGACCAACAATTCCTTGCATCTCATTTTACAACATGTGTTATAGTTCATCCCACCTCTCCAAACCAGACTTCGGTTATCTACAAAGAAGCTACAAAATCTGCTGTCAAGATTTTGCTGAAGCCAATGCGAACAGCTTCCCCTCCCTTTCCTTGCCCACAGACCCAGGTTTCCATCCCAGCAGGCAGCCAGGTTGGGCCAGGCACAATTTGCTCCCTGATCATCACAGGAACTGAGGTGGAGCTGGGCACCTGGGCTTCCTTGCATCTCCTTCCCTTTTTAGAAGAAAGGCTGAAGTCTGCATGTTCCCAGTCTTCATGGGACATCGTTAGGTCACTGTGAATTTTCAGAGATGATAAAGTGGCCCTGGTCAGGTCCCTTAGAAATCTCCTATCCAGACCCATGGACTTACCTGAGTTCATTTTGTTTATTTGTTCCCTATGTTTATTACAGGTCAAAACATCTCCATATACATCTCTCATCTCTGCCATGTCACTGATAAAACCACGTGTGCAACACACTTGTAACCTACAGGTCAACTTGGGAGGAACCAAGGAAATGAGGTCTCCTAAGCTGTCTGCTCAGGGCCAAACCAGGACAGTTTGCCAACACAGAACTGCACTGGTCCTGAGGAAGCCCTGCATGCTCTATGAAATGCAACACCAGCAAGCAAAACCATTCTCCTATCGGCACCACTGTCTTACTGAGGATGGATGGCAGGTTCCAAGATTACAGCCTAAGCAATAATTTATCATGACAGTTGTGAGATTGTTTAGACATGATATGTATTTGTGAAACAAAAAAAATACTAGAAGAGAAAATAATAGAAATATGGACGTATTTGATGCAACGGAATGCAATTAATCTCTCTGAAAAAGTAGAAAGCAATTTCTTGAATGTGTTTGGTAAAAAGGGGTCAGAAAATGTCTGTTAAACATTTTCTTTCCACGCTACAGAAATGGTTTTCAATTTGTTCTTTGTTGTATCATGTCTAAACAGCGTGCCTTACCCCAGTCAATGACATGCACAGTCTGAGGGAAGCACTGCAGTGCTTCACATAAAAGACAACACGGAGAGCAGTTGTAATTCTGACACTCTTTGTCTCCGTGTTTTAACATTAAATAGTGTTCTGAAAACAGAAGTGTTTGTTGGCTTGTTTCTGTTTGCTGTTTTATTTCTGTAGAAATCAAACTGCCAACCCTTATTTTTTGGCTTTAGCTGATTTTTCAGGAGGAAAAAGTCCTGCATTCAGAATGCTCTCTGGTTTATGATATTAACATGGGCTACCTCAGTTATTAAACTCCACTACTGGGGGAAAAAGCCTGAGAAATGTGTTGGTTATAAGCAAGCTATTAGCAAAGAGATAAAGAAAAGCTGAGAATTAATGTTGTGTTACACAGTCCTACACCACAGCCACAACAAGGCATTTATTATCAGTCAAGGTAATAGCCAAGGTTTTAGCTCATGCAAAAGAGAGACATTTCAGTCACTGATCTGGAAATACGCATAATAGGTATCTTAAACTTCTTCCCTGTTGGGAATCTCATGATCCACCAACAAGCAGTGTATAATCCTTAAGAAAAAAGAGAACTCCTTCCGCTGTTCTTGGCACTCGCTGTTCGATGAGAGCAGCTGGATGGGTTCAGTCTGCTTAACATAACACCCACCCGCTTTTCTGTGTCATTTCCTACCAGCTAGTTTTTGATGACTCCAGACAGCCTCTAAGTCCAAAATAAAGGCCAATAAAGACCTTTCTCAGAAGCAATAACTTTCCTGACAATAAAAGCAGGCATAACTGAATAAATCAGACCTTTGTGTGCTCTTGGAAGAGAGCATCACGTGCCACTTAATCTTTTAATCAAAGCAACTCACCTCACGATTTATATCATGCTTGGATATCCCAATATTGAGAAGCACTGCGTATTCACCTTTTTCTCCCAGGAGTCGAGGAAAGCTATAAGCTGGCTACACAGATGCAAAACTGAAAGCAGAGAAAGCCTCCTTACCTGTACTGCTGGAGATGTTGACATCGATGCTGATATCCGATATGCCACCTCCTTTCAGAGACGCGACACACGTGTACGTCCCAAAGTCTGTGAATTTCAAGTCAATGATGTCCAGGTTGGTGGTGCCAGGCGATACGTCGGGGTCAGTCTGTGTGATGACCATCCTTTCAGAGCTTCGCAAGGGCCGCCCATTTTTAAACCAGCTGAATGTGAGCTCCTCCGAAGGGACAGCTTCCACCTGGCAGGAGATTTTCACCTCTCGCCCAATCTGGATGTTGTCGTCTTTGTGATATGGATCAGGGGTGATCCAAAAACGTCCTTTTTTTAAGGCTGAAATATGTAGGAAAGAAAAAAAAAAGCCAACTGTTTATTCTAACAAAGCACCAATTTTGCATCTTCAGACTTTACAAAAACTTTGGTTCATTCTTCCCTTTCTCTGTCATACTATGGTTGGGAAATCGCTCAAACTTCCCACGCAGACACTTGGCACGTCTTTGTAGGATGAGATCTTACTCAAATACCACCAGAGAGCATTCACTGATAAAACATTTGTTACCTCCAAAATGAAAAATAGGGATTCATAGTGCCTAAATTATGCAGAGCTGCTGACAACTGAAGAGTAACCAAAATAATTCACAAATTTTTGTTATCTGTTTCTGGAGGTCCTTACAATCCTTTCCTCACTCCCATGCTATCAGAGCACTGAGAGAAAACAGAGATATCAATCTGACATCACTAATAGAACCAGTAGTGTCACCTCCGATCTACCTGGAAACAAACATGGCCATGCAAAACTGTTTAGTGCCAGCTGGTTCAATGGGAAGAGATGAGATGTGCCCATGGCTACAGCCTGCCCTGCTTTATGGCTCTGCTCTTCCTTGCAGCAGCCTGGAGGGTTCTCCCAACCCTGCACAGCCCAGAGGCAGGCTGCCTGCTGCCACCTCCTGAAGGCAGCAGGGCTGAGAGGACATCATTATCAGGTCCTAGCTAACAGTCAGGAGTAGTAAGCAAAAAGTTGCTCTTCTGAGATATAACCCTGTGAGAGAGCCCATGGTGAGTACCATGGTTGCATTTCCACAGCAAGGATCCCATGGATCTCTTTTTACATCCGAGATGATTCAAGCTAGCACTAGACATTTAATTGATTCTCTAGCCCTCAGTAAAGCAGACCCAAGGCAGTCTGAGCATTTCAGATGGGAACTGTAGAGCAGATAAGTTTCTGGTGGCCACCCCAGGGGCAGGCTTAGAGCTCAGGAAGGCTTCCTGCCAACCTGAGGAACACCATTCCTCACCATCTTCCTGGAAAGACAAGCATCTGTGACTCACATTTTCTGATCAGTCTACTGTACGACAGCAAAATAACATCGCAAGTCACTTATTTGAATTTTCTTGTCACTCTTTTAATGAGCATGAAGCAATCCAGAACTGCAACCATTTACGGCAGCAAATTGGTTGCTATAAAACAGTCTTGGTTCAATAGTTATTTTTGGACAAGTGCTTCAGAATCAGCCATTAAGTTCTTCAAATACAAATATATTTTCATGTACTGAATACAAAATACCACTTATACAATCCCAAGATCCCTATCCCCCTGTATATGTCTGCCTAAGTACATATGCATATAGGTGCATTTATATATCCTATCTTCATCTAGAAAACCTTGCAAGGAGAACACCAGCTAGAAAATACCAGTTACAAGCAAATGGCAAGGTTGAAGACAAGCACTGGAAGACAGCCATTTCTATCTGACATTTCTCTTCATTCTGCTGACTTCCTGGTCGACGGAAATGTCTTCCAGGTTGCCCTGGTTGCTTCCTGCTCTCTCTGCCCTCCCATGAAGAGCAGCCGGGTGAGAAGCATCTGAGTGAGAACAGGATGTATTAGCAGCACTCTCCTGCCTAGCCTCCTGTATTTATACACATACAGCCCATGAAGCGCGATGCTGTTACAAATGGCAAAGGCTGTGAGTTGGGAATTCCTGCCTCTGCATCCCATACTTTGAGTAACCCATGGTTTGCACTTGCTGCATTCAGAAAGCATAACAGCATCAAATGCAAAGACTTAAATGAGGCACCAAGGATGGGCAGAGAGCCCAACGGGTTGGGTTGGACTGTCACATCTCTGCGAGTGGTGAAAATGCCCATTCAGACTCAGTTTTGTGAGCTCAGTAGCTCCTTGAACAAAACAACTCTTTGGAGCTTACAAATGCTTTGCTGAATTTGCACTTCCATGACTCTGAGGATAATTAACATTTAATTAATTAGTTGTTGGTTGGTTTTCTTTTTTCTTTTTTATCCAATGCAGGAAAGAAGCATAAAATCTGTCGACCTGTGGGCATCCCCTTGCACACGGCATGAGAAACCCTTCCTGCTGAGGATGCCAGTCCTCTTAACCAGCAAATGAAGACTTGGTGTTCACTGTGCTGCTCAGCTACGGCATGCAGGGTGCTGTCACTGAAATGTAACCACGCATTAAAAAATCCAAGTGGTTAATATGTTTTTAAGAATTTGTGGAGTTTGAAAATGGCCCTCATTCAGCATCTATCTTTCCCTTTTAAAAGCTGCAGCCAGTTCCCTAGGAAGCAGAATTAACACAAGCTTTGATTCCAGAGGATGAACCATACATTGTATGACAGTTAGGAACTATCAGAGTAAATAACTTTGAAACGCAAAGTGAACTTTTTTGTTTGAAAACAGAAGAACAAAGAACGCTTGCATCTACAAAAAATCAGCAAATATATTATGCACATAATTTGCAGACGGGGAAAAAGAAACAACAAGCTCATAATAGGCATGATGAGCAGCACATTTCAACCAGAAATATTTGCTAATAACTTCAATCAACTATTTTTATTTCTGATTTTTTTTTTCCTGTTAGCTTTGAGTGCTCATGCACTAATTACAGCAGTTTCTCCTTGCTATAAAGGAATAACAAAGTCTGATAGAAAAGTCGTATTAATGCTTGCCCATCCTTCATTAACTCTAAATGCCAAGGAGTGTACAACTAATCTGAATATTTTTCTGTACATCTAAATACAAGGAGTTCAGAGGGTGGTGAGGCACTGGAACAGGTTGCCCAAGGAGGCTGTGGATGCCCCATCCCTGCAGGCATTCCCAGGCTGGATGTGGCTCTGGGCAGCCTGGGCTGCTGGTTGGTGACCTGCACACAGCAGGGGGTTGGAATGGATGAGCACTGTGCTCCTTTGCAACCCAGGCCATTTTATGATGCTATGATTCTATGATTGTCATGTCTCTTTGTACTGCACAGATAAAGTGAAGGGAACTTTGAGAAATTCTGAAGCGAAGGAACAGACTCAGAAGCAGTGTCAACAGACACCCTACATCCATCACTAACAGCCATGAACTCTTCACATAAAACATCCAACAGCTGTTTAATACAATCTGAGGCTGAAAGTCAGCGTCCTGTTTCTCTAATCCCACTGTCCAAGGCTTCACAACCTGCACAGCCATCAGCATCGTCTTTGGCCATCAAAATCAGCAGAAAATCTGACTTTACAATGTAATGCCTTTACAGAGTTAAGCAGCATCACTAACAACCTACATCCATAAATCACTGCTGTCCATCATCACCAGAATAAACACAGTGACAGAATAAACATAATTAACCTGTGTTCCTTGGAGCTTCTAATTTGGCATCAAAGTATCTGAAAATCACCAACTGTATCTGGAAGGCATCCTTGGGAAACCAACAGCAGGTGTCCACAGCCTCTGACAGCTGTACTCACGTGGAGCTGGAGGGCAGGAGGAGCACGGGGCAGACATGCTTCTCCATCTCCATCTCCATCTCTAGAACTCCTTTTTAGGAGGGGAAATTGAACTTAGATATCCTGCTCCAGGCTGATGAGACTCCCAACCACTTCAAACACTGGAAGCTTCCTGACTTAAAGGGTCAGAAAACCTTCTGAATAGATGAACCACCCTCAGTCACACTTATGGAGAAGAGGGCTGTGTGAGTCAGAGCGTAGGGTTCTCTTGGCTGGCAGAGACAGAAGGGGTGGGGGTGACTCAGCTCAGGCCCATGAATGAAAAGTTGTCATAGCAATGAGGGTCCCATCAAGCTAGACTCAGACCCAGAGCAAACAGGGTTGCCTTTGGACAAAGGACATGGGGTCAGCAGACCTCTCCAGAGTCACCGCCTCCAGCAGCCTTGAGAATACAAAGCTGCAGTGTGTAGAGTCTCCGATCTGTACAAGATCATAGAGTCACAGAATGGCCTGGGTTGCAAAGGCCCACAATGCTCATCCAGTCCCAACCCCCTGCTATGTGCAGGTCGCCAACCAGCAGCCCAGGCTGCCCAGAGCCACATCCAGCCTGGCCTTGAATGCCTGCAGGGATGGGGCATCCACAGCCTCCTTGGGCAACCTGTTCCAGTGCCTCACCACCCTCTGAATGAAAAAAAGATGAACATGCTTTCCAAGAAGACTTCAGACCTCGCTCATGTGTTGTGTTCTATTCAGACTTCTTGAGATCACCTGGGCTGAGGCTGGTACAAATCCAGCAGGTATGGATTCTGCACAGCTGTTTGCACTCATAATCAATTCCCATAAAGCAGTGGTTTGGACTTTCCTCATTTGTAGGTTCTTAGACCACAACTGGTAGGCATTTGCCTATCAATGTCAAGTGTGTTAGAACTAACAGTGGATTCTGATTCTGTTTTTTCACTGCGCTGTTGGTTATGTTTGAAGCATTGCTGAAAGGCTTCCATCACAAAGATGGGATGAGACGCAGTGAAGAAGAGATACAGGGCTATCTGGCAAAATGTGAGAGGTGGTGCTGCAGCCATGCTAACCACAGCTGCATCCCAGCAGAGATTGCAGGACATAATCAGCTCACAGGGCTGGAAAATATTAGCCAATGTGCAAATAAGTCTGTAACTGTACTTTGAGACTCAGAACATGCCCAAGAAAGTGCCAGTCTTTCTCAAAGAGGCCCAAAGAACTATGATGTGATCAAATAAAAAAAGATGAAACAATTTCCATCCACAAACTCTTCAATGTCTGCTCTCCCTCATTAATTACATTTCAAAGTAATAGAACACATTTCAGTATCTAAACGAAGGCTGATTTGCATTCATCAGGTTAAGTCATATCCTCCCACCCCCACTCGGATCAACCCAAGATGCTCCTTTAATCCATCAAAAACGTTCGTATCTCAGAAACGCACATTTCATGATATATGAACAGCATCAAACACCGTAATTGAATTCATTAGCTGCTGCACTGTTTGCAGGCTTTGACATAATAGTTATTGGCCACTGACTGCTTCCTAAGCTGGCACGGGGCGTTGGGGAGCTCAGCTTTGTGTTTGCTG